TTGTTGATGTTTGGCATTTAGGTCTGCACCCAAGATGAAGTGATGTCCTAAGGAGTCGAGGAGAGAACGGAATTGGGCATTGGATATGGATCGGTTAGGAGGGCAATACGCTGATGCAAGGGTAACCGGAAAGGAAAAGGTTTTTATCACGATAGCGGTGGACTGTAGGAAATCATGTGTAGGTAACGGGAGTAGGTGATGGGAGAGGGATTGGTGTACAATGACAGCAGTACCGGCATGTGCTTTTCCGTCAGGGTGGTCAGTACGATATGTCAGGTATTGTGGTATTTTGAAGTGCTGTTTAGTGGTTAGTCGAGTTTCAGTAATTAGTGCCACGTCAATATTTTTGTCAAGTAATAATGTAGTTAGTTCGTTTGTGTGATTCCTAACACCATTCGCATTCCAAAGGAGAATGGATAAAGGTTTATTGGAAGTCATTTAAGGATTTTTCGCGGGAGGGATAAAATGTGATACAAGATTGGTGAGAAGAGATATCAAAGGAGTAACAAGGGATCTGAATTCGGAGAGGAAAGATGTAAGTAAACTGGTGAGATCTGTGGTATTTGAGGGAGGAGGAATGCGGGGAATTTGGTGTTGATAAAACTGTTGATTAGGTGAAGTTTGATTAGGATGTTGAGGGTGGGGTTGAGAATTTTGAGGTATGTGTTGTTGTTGCGGCAGGGTCTCACAATAAGTAACATCATTCTTACCTCCTAATAAGTGTGCAAAAGACACCGTTGGGTCAATTTTTTTTTAAGGTCCTCTTCTTGATGCGTTAGGTTCTCTTCTTGATGCCTCTGCTTCTTCTTGGGTCCGGGATTTTTGATATCTTGATTTAATATTCTTGTAGATCTGACAGCCTTTGTAGTTCGCTGGATGTCCTTCAAGGCACAATGCACAAACTGCAGGATCCCGTTTCGGTTTTGTGCACTCCCCGGATTTGTGCTGCTCTCCACATTTCACACAGCGCGGCAGATGATGGCAGTAAGTCCTGGTATGGCCATATGCCTGGCAATTGTGACACTGTACGATTTCCCTCTTAGGATATGGCTTCTCTACTATAACACTTGTGTAGTATATTCTTCTTATTTCGTATATTTTTTCGATCCCTTGATTTGGCTCCAAATCTACGAAAAATAAGGGTAGAGGAACTTTTACTCCTGGCTGTTCTTTACTCTCCTTCTGTACATTTGTAATCTGGCGCACTATGAAACCTAAAGTTTTCAATTCTTCTTCTATTGCTTCGGTTGGTGTTGAGGGGTGTAGATTTCTTATGACTACCCTCAAAGCTCGATCTTGCCGTAATTGGTACGTATGAAAATCCGCGTTGGTTTCCGTTAGATACTTCACAATTTTTCTGTAGGTTTCAGCTGTATCTGGTGATATCTTCGTGTCCTTTGTTCTGCTTAGACATGAATAGCTTCCAGAGCCTGTTATTTTGTTCAGTTGTGAGCATAGTAACTGAAAATTGTTTATGTTTTTAACGAATATGGGTGGAGGTCGGGGATCTCTTGGTATTGAAGCGGATTCCATCACTTCTTTATCATTCTGAAGCACCTGATAGGGGTTAGGGGTGAAAAACGGAGATTGTTCGGTTATCTCTTGTGAAGATGTACCTGGTTGATGCTGAAGTTCTTCAATTGTTGGTTTTGATGATGTTCCTGGCTGGGTTTCATTTTCTCTGGAGCTAATAGGCGTTACTGCAGGTGTTTGACGACATTGACGAGGCTTTTGTTTGACAGGCGAAGAACAAGGTGTTGAGCCTAACGGCCGAATTCTCTTGATAGAAGCTCTACTAGACATGGCCTGATTGTGATATCGCATATAAGGGAAAAAAATGAAAAAAAAAAATAATAAAATAAAAATAACCCTATAATTTATAACAAACAATAAATATCAATTATTGTTATGTATTCTTGACTTGTTTTGAATAAATAATCTCAAAGATTTCACTGCAAAATAAGCAAATTCTGAGAGACGATGTAGAAACACGTCCTTTCGCATCAGCTGATAAACTGCCAATCACAGTATCTTCAGTGAAATTAAATTAAAACAAGTAAAAATAAAATAAAATTTTGAGAAAAAACGAAATAAAAAAAAATTATTTAAATGAAAATAAAAATAAAATAAAATAAGCATGGGTTGATTTTTAAAATTAAGACTCAATAAATTTTATCAACCATTCACCTCAGTCAAAATCTGTTTCACAATATTTATTTTATTGTATAACGTCATTTTGGGATGTGAGAAGGAATTGGTAGAGATGATATTTAAATGAGGACAAGGAAGAGGCATGGCGGATTTCAGATGGCAAGGAATTCCAGAAGGCTGTGGATCGGGAAATAAAGGAATATTCAAACGTCTTAGTTCTATGGGAAGGGATATAAAGGTCGGAAACACGGGATCTTGTTTTCTGGGAGTGGGCCACGGGTTTAAACTGTAGGAGACTGTAGATGTAAGAAGGGTGTCTGGTGTTGATTGTTTGGAATAGGAAAGATCCGAGGAAATATTGTCTGCGGAAAGAAGGGAAGAGCCACTTTAACTCGTCGTAAAGGTGGGACACATGAGATCGCCTTGATGTACCGAAGACAAATCTTAAGCACGTATTCATGAGTCGCTTCAATCTATCCTCGAGTACCATCGGGATGCCTCCGTACACCACACAGCCGTAGTCAAAGTGGGGGAAAATGAGAGAGGATACAAGGAGCTTGCGGATGGGTTGTGGGAGTAGGTGGCGGGAGCGATGAAATAGCTTAAGGGTACCTATTGACTTACGGGAGATGAGGGCGATATGGGGTTTCCAGGAGAGGTTTTCGTCTATGGTGATTCCTAGGTTTTTAACGGATGAACTGAATGTGACAGGATGATCGTTGATGACTAAAGGAGGAAGGATGGAGATGGATTTAAGAATAGGACTGGAACCTATAATAATGGCCTGAGTTTTCATCGCATTTAGATTTAATTTATTCAGACTTGCCCAGGCACTGATCCTATCTAGGTCTGCCTGAATATTGGCGAATGCGACTAGTAGCTCAGAAGGATGAAAGGAAAAATATATTTGGGTGTCATCAGCGTATAAATGATGTGAACAGTGGTAGATGGATTTGGAAAGATCATTTATGTAGGAATTGAAAAGGAGAGGGGAAATGATCGAACCCTGGGCCACTCCAGAGGACAGTGTAAGAAAGGAAGATAGGGGTTGGTTTGGAATGCTGACTGCTTGAGTTCTGTCGGATAGGAAATACTGCAACCAGAGGATAGAGCTGTTGGAGAAGGATAGAGATTTTAATTTAGTATAGAGTATAGAGTGGTTTAAGGAGTCAAAAGCATTGGAAAAGTCGAGAAGTATTAACACAGTTAACATTTTTTCGTCCATTGCGGTATGTAAGTCATTGGTAATTTTTAGTAGGGCGGATTGTGTGGAGAAGCCAGGTCGGAAACCAGATTGGAGAGGATCGAGTAGTTTTGAGTTTTCAAGGAATTTAGAGATTTGGGATTGAGCTATTCTTTCCAGAGGTTTAGAAAGGTTAGAAAGAATGGAGATTGGGCGGTAGTCTTTAGGAGAGGTAGGATTGGGAATTTCGTTGATAGGTCTGACTAATGCTTTTTTCCAAGCAGTTGGAAAAACTGAGTTCTAGAGAGAAAAATTTTAGATGAAAAGGAGAACTGGAACGACTTCGGGAAGGCATAATTTTAACAGTTTGACTTGTATCCCATCAAGTCCGATGGAGTTTGTGTATGATTTCATTATAGAGGAAATAAGGTCGGTAGGTGAAATAGAAATTATCACTGTTAAATGAGGGTGATAAGGAAAACTGGTGAGAGGTGGGTGAACTGTTGCTGGTGGTGGAAAATATAAAGTAGGAATTTAGTTCATCGGGTGATACCGGGTAGAACGGTGAGGAAGAGGATTTACAAAGAGAGAGTTTACGAAGGGTTAGCCATATTGATTTAGAATCAATAGCAGAAGAGAAGGTTTCGTGAAAGAAGTTTGATTTCGTTGTTTAAGTCAAGTTACGGAGTACCCTATAGACTTCATAGTCATCTGCTAGTCGAGTTAGTCTGAAGCGTCTACGGGCTGCCTCACGTCTCTTTTGCATGTCGCGGATTTCTTGACAAATCAAAGGAGCAGGTTGGCGACGGAAGGTTGAGGTTTTGATAGGAGCATGTATGTCAAGAATATGGATAAGATTAGAAGTGAGGAAGTCTACCATATGATCAATAGAGGTACAGGAATAAATATCGTTCCAGTTTAGGGTTTCAAGGTCCGGTAGGATTTTATCACGGGTGAGGATGTCAAGATTGCGGAAAGTTATGGTTTTAGGAAGAAACGTGGGAGTTTAGATATCATACGATAATTGGATGAGATCATGAAAAGAAAGGAAAGGAACGGGTAATTGAGAACAGGACAAGAGTTTCTGCTCTGAATCGATGATATGCAAGTCCAGCCAGGTGTCAGACCAACAAGTATGGTGTGTAGGAGCGAAAGGAACAATTTAATTCATTTAATACCTCAACAATACAATTGAAATGCTGTAATAATATTTTAGATAATTGAAGCATGGATGCCTCCAACTAATAGAGGCTTTTAATGAAAAAAAAATTTAGGATCGGGACATTAGTTCAGAAGGAGAGGTGGCCCCTCGACTTTTGAACCCTCTTTTAACAGCTTGATTTTTGTAGGTGCTGGGTGTTGAAAGTAATGAGATAAAGAGTATGGCGGAATCTAGTTGTGTACCATAACGATTTCTTAGTTGTTCCCTCTAAGCTGAAAAACGAAAAACCTTAGCTTTGTCCTAGATTTTAAAATCCATCTTATCGATTTATATTGTAATTACTGCTTTAATAATTGATCTGATCCTAGTTCGGTTCTTACACTGTTCGGTATAATATTGAAATACTGAACTATCGAGGAATGCATAACAATCTGACTTATTGATTGAATTGAGTAACCAAATCTGATATTTTTCTGAATTAAATAACCAAAGACATTCAGTTAACTAAAAACCATCTAAACTCTTCTTTTGTCGGATGTTTCTACAGTGTTTGCGACCTAAAATGACCATATTAGCAAACGTATTTATTTATTTTCCTTTTGAGAACACTAATCGAATAATTCTATTGAAAATAATTATATAGTAATTCGGTATTCAAACCTTGAAACGAGTGCATACTTTTGAATTTATATTTACTAGTTTCAATATATTTATTTTGACTTGATATCGTTAATAAAAGTAATAAATTATTAGATTAACTACTGTACGAGTTAATTTAAAAATTTTAAATAAAGATAATATTTATTAAATTAACGAATATTAGCTAAAGTTCGAACTCGTTTAATGATTTCATTTCTAAACTACTATACGAGCTCCTTCACTAGGACTATGTAACTAATATTCCGTGGATAATATTTTTTCGAGAAAATAATGTTTTTTTAGTAATACCAAATGAAATCTTAACCAAATTACCGCTGGATCTATAGCAGATTTTTTTAAAACGAGGACAGTTTCAACCAACTAAATTTGCATCTACATAGTTATTTTTGGCTTTAGGGTATAAAACATCTAAGAGATCTGCACCTAGTTTTTTTTTTAGAATTTAACTTTTTTATTTAAAGTCTATGCCGATGACTATTGGGTTATTCGGCTCTTAACCTCCCAATCCATCACGTCTTTGAATATATGCAGTGTTTGCGACCTAAAATGACCATATTAGAAAACGTACAATAAGAAAATTCAGTAAGCTTAGAATAAATCTTTTCCGCTAAATCTGCTCGCAGACTTGGAATATTATTGTTAGGGTCAAGAAATTGGAATTTCCAAAAAATAATGACTATCATGAGAATATATTATCCAAAGCCTTTATGACCAAATTATTCTTTTGAAAATTCTTATATTGTAATCAGTATTTAAATAAAAAAAATCATGTCACTCCAGGTTTTTTCAAAAAGAACCCCCTTTCTCTCTAAAAAAGTTGAATGTTAAAATTTTTCTGACTTCAGATTCGAACTTAGCAAACTTGAAATTATGAAAAAGTTCTCAGATGTTGTTTAAAAGATTGTTATTTATTTATTTTCCTTTTGAGAACACTAATCGAATAATTCTATTGAAAATAATTATATAGTAATTCGGTATTCAAACCTTGAAACGAGTGCATACTTTTGAATTTATATTTACTAGTTTCAATATATTTATTTTGACTTGATATCGTTAATAAAAGTAATAAATTATTAGCTTAACTACTGTACGAGTTAATTTAAAAATATTAAATAAAGATAATATTTATTAAATTAACGAATATTAGCTAAAGTTCGAACTCGTTTAATGATTTCATTTCTAAACTACTATACGAGCTCCTTCACTAGGACTATGTAACTAATATTCCGTGGATAATATTTTTTCGAGAAAATAATGTTTTTTTAGTAATACCAAATGAAATCTTAACCAAATTACCGCTGGATCTATAGCAGATTTTTTTAAAACGAGGACAGTTTCAACCAACTAAATTTGCATCTACATAGTTATTTTTGGCTTTAGGGTATAAAACATCTAAGAGATCTGCACCTAGTTTTTTTTTTAGAATTTAACTTTTTTATTTAAAGTCTATGCCGATGACTATTGGGTTATTCGGCTCTTAACCTCCCAATCCATCACGTCTTTGAATATATGCAGATAGGAATTGTCTTCGTTTCTAATGCTTTATTCTTAGCAATATTGTTTGCAGTAGACAATTACCCTAAACAGTTTCAGAGCTGAATATATTATTTATTTGCTCTGTTAGATTTAGCCTATTCACAAATTTATATAGTATCGTAAGAATATCGGATATTTTAAATAAATAACAATAAAACTTCTAATAATGATATTAAAATCAAATTGAATCTATTCTCGTTCAATGATTTTACTTTTAAATTATTATATAATCATCTTCATTTTAAATGTTTAATTAATTCGGAATTGGTGTTTATTTCATCTTATAGTGATAAATATTTTTGGAAATACCATTTAATACCTCAACAATACAATTGAAATGCTGTAATAATAGTTTAGATAATTGAAGCATGGATGCCTCCAACTAATAGAGGCTTTTGGTGAAAAAAAATTTTAGGGTCGGGACTTTAGTTCAGAAGGAGAGGTGGCCCCTCAATTTATGAACCCTTTTTTAACAGCTTGATTTTTGTAGGTGCTGGGTGTTGAAAGTAATGAGATAAAGAGTATGGCGGAATCTAGTTGTGTACCATAACGATTTCTTAGTTGTTCCCTCTAAGCTGAAAAACGAAAAACCTTAGCGTTGTTCTAGATTTTAAAATCCATCTTATCGATTTATATTGTAATTACTGCTTTAATAATTGATCTGATCCTAATTCAGTTCTTACACTGTTCGGTATAATATTGAAATACTGAACTATCGAGGAATGCATACCAATCTGACTTATTGATTGAATTGAGTAACCAAATCTGATATTTTTCTGAATTAAATAACCAAAGACATTCAGTTCCCTAAAAACCATCTAAACTCTTCTTTTGTCGGATTTTTCTACAGTGTTTGCGACCTAAAATGACCATATTAGAAAACGTACAATAAGAAAATTCAGTAAGCTTAGAATAAATCTTTTCCGCTAAATCTGCTCGCAGACTTGGAATATTATTGTTAGGGTCAAGAAATTGGAATTTCCAAAAAATAATGACTATCATGAGAATATATTATCCAAAGCCTTTATGACCAAATTATTCTTTTGAAAATTCTTATATTGTAATCAGTATTTAAATAAAAAAAATCATGTCACTCCAGGTTTTTTCAAAAAGAACCCCCTTTCTCTCTAAAAAAGTTGAATGTTAAAATTTTTCTGACTTCAGATTCGAACTTAGCAAACTTGAAATTATGAAAAAGTTCTCAGATGTTGTTTAAAAGATTGTTATTTATTTATTTTCCTTTTGAGAACACTAATCGAATAATTCTATTGAAAATAATTATATAGTAATTCGGTATTCAAACCTTGAAACGAGTGCATACTTTTGAATTTATATTTACTAGTTTCAATATATTTATTTTGACTTGATATCGTTAATAAAAGTAATAAATTATTAGATTAACTACTGTACGAGTTAATTTAAAAATTTTAAATAAAGATAATATTTATTAAATTA